GATGCGCTCTCCAGGAAACCGCAGTATCTTGAGGAAGCGGCACCAGTGGCAGCCAGGCACATTTTTGCACCGCAAGCGTGGGCGTGCGCTTCTGCCGCCGTGGACCTGGACGCGGTACGACGCGCGTTACAGACGGATCCGTTTGCACAATCCAAGATGGAGGAGGTGCGAAGAGGGACAGCAAAGGACGGCGAATTCCAGATACGCGACGGCCTGCTGACCCGCAAAGGTGCTCTCTACGTCCCGGGAGACGATCTCCGAGCGAAGGTTTTACAGCAGTTACACGACGCCCCCAGCGCGGGTCACTTCGGCAAGGAGAAGACGGCGGACTTAGTAGCCAGGGACTTTTGGTGGCCCCAGATGCGGGGAGAAGTCGCGGATTACGTCGCCAGGTGTGACACTTGTCAGAGGTCCAAGCCAGTGCACAAGAAGCCAGCGGGATTGCTGGAACCGTTGGAGACGCCACTGCAGCCGTGGGAAAGGGTGGCGCTGGACTTTGTCACTGATCTGCCCAGTTCGCGGGGCAAGACGGCGGTGCTTGTGGTTGTAGATCTGTTCACCAAGATGGCGCATTTCATTCCTTGCGCGAAGGTGGCAACAGCGGAGCAGACCGCCAGGCTATTCATAGACCACGTGTTCCGGGTGCACGGCTTACCACGGTCCATTTTGTCCGACCGGGGTCGCCAATTCATTTCCAGTTTCTGGCAGAAGCTCCTGGGCATCCTGAATGTCAAGATCAACTTAGCGTCGGCGAGACACCCGCAAACCAACGGCCAAGCGGAGAGGGTCAACGCCATCATGCAGCAGTACCTGCGCTGTTACGCCAATCAGAAGCCGGCAACTTGGGTGGACTACTTACCGATGGCCGAGTTTGCCTACAACAACACGAAGCACGCGTCAACGGGGTGACACCGTTCTTCGCCAACAATGGGCGACATCCCAGAACATTCCCGGCGTTGGAGACAACGACACAGGGGGAGTCGCAGGGAGCGGAACATTTAGCAGCAGAATTGCAGGAGGTCCACGAGGAGCTACGACGGCACTTGGAACTGGCTAAACACGCCTACAAAGTGCAGGCAGACAGGCACAGGAGGGCAGGAGAAGACATCCAGGTGGGGGACTGGGTATGGTTAGCAGCCCAGGCGGTGCCGGCCAAGTCGTTAGCTAAGAAGAAGCTAGGACACAAACAGCTAGGGCCATACCAAGTTGAGGGCAGGATCAATCCCGTAGCTTTCGGTTGACCCTCCCAGAGGATTCCCGAATGCACCCGGTCTTTCATAGGTCGGTGCTTACACCCTACAAGGCCCCACACCGATTTCAGGAGCCAGGGACGGCACCAGACCCACGTAGGAAGTCACCAGGGGGAAGTCACCGAGGACCCCGACACTCAACGAGGCCACGGAAATTCTGGACTCGAGATGGGGGGAGGAGGGAGTGGAATACCTCCTCGCCAGGGAAGGTACCCCGGCCAGCGCCAACAGTTGGGTGCCAGATTATGCTCTGGAGGAACCTTTTCTTAAGGACGAGTTCCATGCACTCTTCCCACACAGGCCCATGCCAGAGGAGTATTTTGACGACTGGCTTTTTACCCCCACACTTTCAGGCAGCACCTTCCGGGGGTTCTCCTCCGCAGAGGAGACCACGCCGCAATCGAGCCCTCCAAGGGGATCGTGCTCGGGGGTAGACACGGACCGCTCTTATTGGTGGGACGATCAACCAGAAGTGGGGTGGCGAAGGGGGCCTTGGCAAGCAGCTTCGCCTGAAGTAACAGGGGGAGGGAAGGGTTTGGAGGTGTTGGGGGAGGACCCTGGTTTCGAGCACTCCTACACTGAACTGGAAGCAGAGGAGATCGACGTCGACGAACTGTATCCAGCATCTACCCCGGCTACAATGAAGCTCCCGGAACCTGCGCCCGAGCAGCGGGAGGGGGAAGGGGGCTTCGAGGGGGATGGATGTCAGGGGTTCAGGGAGAGAGGCACAGGGTAGGCAGGAGATGGAGAGCGAGGGGGCGGAATTCCAAGCCAGCGAGGAAGAGGATGACAATGACTCAAGAGATTCCATGAGTCTTTCCAGCGAATCAGAGGATTCCCAGAAGGGGGGGAAGTGTCAGGAGCAGGGTGCTAGCGGAAGATCCCAAAGTGGCAGCTGGGCGTCAGGACCAGCCTCCCCACCAGAGTGCAGCGAAGGGGGTGGAGTTTCCAGTGTGTCAGAGGAAGCAGCTCCAGCAGCAGAGAAAGGAGGGGGTCAGAGCAAGCCGCCCTCCCGGAAGGGGAGGGAGCAGTGAAGGGAGTAGTGTAACTGTCAAAAGGAAAGTTAGAGGTTTGGCGCGCGCGCCTAGTTCAAATGTAGAGGCGCGCGGAAGTGCAGGGAGCCCGGAGGAGGGGCCAGGTCCCAAAGCCCGCAGGAGGGGGGAAGAGCAGTCTGGGGATTCCGCATCAGAGGAATCCAGGAGGGGCGAAACCCCAGTGGGCAGAAGGACCCTGCGGAAAAGGAAGGAGAGAAAGAGGTGGAGCAGCGCAAGTCTCTTAAATTGGTGCAGGGGAGGAACTGACTCAGAGGGGACTTCGGCGGTCTAGCGTAAAAGACGTAAGGCTGCGCGCCTAGGATGTCAAGCAAACCATGAACTGCAATAAACACTTTTGTATATAAGAAGACAGAGGCGTTGGTCTTTTGTGAGCTAAGACTTGAGGCAGCCTTGACAACTGACATTTTGGATTTGGAAGGTTTCAATAATGTATTTGGATGGCATGCATATTTATGGTATGATAAGGTCAAAGCACACAAAGCATTTAAAAACCACATTGTCAGGAAAGCGCTATTTAATGTTTGGATAAGATATAAGGATTTGCTAGAAAATAAAACTCCAAGGTGGCTGTCACCAATGGAAGCGAAAGCCTTGAAAAGGGTCAATATGGAGGTCAAATGGCCGAAATATTGGGAAATTTTGGAACAAGACGGAGATAGACTGAAATTGCAGAGTTTTGAAAAACTAAAAAACAAAGTGCGAGACTGGCTTCATTATTATCAAATAATGGAGGCATTTAAATTAGACAGGAAAATTGGCTTCCAGGTGGAAAAATCAAAATTAGAAACAGAATTGTTAGAACCCAATACTAAGAATCTGTCAAGAATGTATAACTTGCTGCTGAAATGGAATACTCAAGATGAAACGGTAAAATCGGCTATGATTAAATGGGCACAGGACGTAGGACATAACATTATGTTTGCTGACTGGGAACAGTTATGGACCACTGGTATGAAATTTACGGCATGTAATGCCTTAAGAGAGAATATTATGAAAATGATATACAGGTGGTACATAACCCCAGTCAAGCTTGCGAAAATCTATCACTTGCCCGATAACAAATGTTGGAAATGTAAAGAAACTGAAGGTACATTTTTTCACCTTTGGTGGACGTGCCCAAAGATTAAGGCTTTCTGGGAAATGATATATAATGAATTAAAAAAGGTATTTAAGTATACCTTCCCCAAGAAACCAGAGGCCTTTCTCCTGGGCATAGTGGGCCAAATGGTGTTAAAGGATAGAACTTTCTTTATGTATGCAACAACAGCAGCAAGAATACTCATCGCAAAGTATTGGAAGACACAAGAACTTCCCACGCTGGAGGAATGGCAGATGAAACTTATGGACTATATGGAATTGGCGGAAATGACTGGCAGAATCCGTGACCAGGGAGAAGAGTCGATGGAGGAAGACTGGAAGAAATTCAAAGACTATCTTCAGAAACACTGCAAAATTAAGGAATGTTAGAGTGATGTTGGATTGAAAATAAGTGGTTTCCAGCTGTACAGGTTAAAGTTAAGGATAGATTAAGATTAAAGATCAAGATTAAAGATGTTTAAAGAAATGGAAATTTGATAATAAAAGGGAAAAATTTAAAGGTATATGACATTAAGAACAAGGATTATGTTTAAAAAAGTTGAAGCTATATATTTTAATATTTTATTAAATTAAAGATTGGGTTTAAAAAGTGGAAAAGAAACTGCTGGACAAATAATGCAGATTGGAATACAAAAGAGGGAGGTATGAGGAAGTCCAGAAAATAAGTAATTTAAAATTGGGAATGGAAAAGAGAGTTTGTTTTTAATTGTTATGTTTTGTGTTTTTATTGTTAAATTTTGTATTGTTTTTTGTGTGTGTTGTTTTTCTTTTTCTTTGTTTAAAACCTTAATAAAAATTATTTAAAAAA